CCCCAAAACCCCAAAACCCCAAAACCCCAAAACCCCGACACTCTCAGATATCATTGATAAAGTTCAAAATCGAGTTATTAATACTAATAATGAAAAATACTACATTCGAGACTATTGTCACTGATACTAAAAAACCCTTCATGGTGAAGAAAGAATTCAGGAGTTTGATGCAAGGGGAAGTCCTAGTAAAAGTCCTAGCTGCTACCATCAACCCCACTGATCGGCTCATGGCCTTTGGCCAAGTTGAAGCACCTGGAGCTGAAGAGCACTTGCCTATAGGACTTGGGTTTGAAGGGTCAGGGATTGTTGAAGATGGCTTTAGACCTGAAGAAAAGAAGCACATAGGCACTCCAACTGCTATATTTATAGATCTTTCCCATCCTAGCGAAGTGGCTGCTTGGGGACAATATGTATATATGCAAACTAAGGACTTGATACCATTTCCAGTTGAGACTGATCCTGAGACTATCTGTGCTATCGTTAACCCTATTACCAATTTCCCGATGATGCAAAAGATTCATGAGGGAAACCATAAAGCTGTTGTTCAATCTGCTGCTTGATCATCTGTTGGGAAAATCCTTTTCAAGCATTGCAAGAAACTTGGAATTCCCACAGTCAACATTGTTAGAAAGAAGGAACAAGTGAAGCTTATGAAGGATCTTGGTGCAAAATATGTACTAAACTCAACAAGTAAGACTTTTGAAGAAGATTTGAAAGATTTGTCTGAGGAACTAAAAGCCACTATCTTCTTTGACCCTATTGGTGGGGACTTTACTCTTAAGGTACTGAAGCTCCTCCCTGCTAACTCTACTGCTGTTTTAATGGATAATCTTTCTGGAGGTTGATTCGCTTTTGATCCTCTTGAACTGGTCTTTCAAAATAAGACAATTTCTTCTATATTTTTAGAAGTTTGGATGAAAGATCAATCTCCAAACAAAATAGAGCAGATTATTTCTGAAATTGGAGCCGACTTGACCTCAGGAGGTGAAATCTTTGGGACTAATGTCTACAAGTCCTTCCCACTTTCAAGTCTAGATGAAGCTATTGAAGCTTCAATCAAGCATTCTTCAAAGGGAAAAGTTATCTTCAAGCCTCACTTGATTGAAGAGAAACCATCAAAACGTAACATGTGGCGACTTTTATGTTGTCTTGGATAATTGCCACAATTTACAAAATGTTGATTCAACCGGAATATCTGGATAGGGGTTTTGGGGTTTTGGGGTTTTGGGGTTTTGGGG